AGGAAAACGACAAACCTTTTCTCTGGTGTTTCTATTACTGCATTTCTACTTTATTGTTACCTCACCATTATCACGTCTTCAATATTTACGTGGTTAGCGTTTCTCCGTCCCGTTGACAGAGCTCCGGTCGAGGGCACCCTTTGACGGGATCGCAATTAGCTCCTTTCTTCGTTTCCCGACCGATCGTGCGACCAAGATAAGCCTTTTTTGTGAGGTCGCGATCATTTTCTACTTGTAAGCTTCTGCGGGTTGGTTTCCTAAGCGAACGTTTTTAATATCCACGTACGAACAAATAACCTCTAGAGTGCTTAGAAAGCATGAAAGAAAAAAGGTTTATTTTGATGGTTTTCATTATAAACTCGCCGTTCCTTGCTATTTCACCTGCGCGAAACGTTTCTGATACGCCCCCGTAGGTGTTAAATCAGCTCTTCCAGAATTGGGCTATCAAATGCAAAAAGACTTTCTCAAATCCGACTGGAAATTACAGGGATTAGCGCGTTAAGAGAAACAAAGTCTTCAGCTTTATTATATTAGTATAGTATAGATACTTTTTAAAGTTTTCTTATTTCTAAATGGCTCCATCTATTTATAAATGGGTTTATTTTTAAAAATGTTTCATGTTTTGATTATATAGATATACTTATCTAGATGGAGCAACTGCTTAACAAACGACGCGCTTAAACTGTCTCCGATTGCGTGATATGTGTGAGACCGTCCCAAAAAAGTTTATTAATTTGATACTAACTAAATCATCAACAATCGTTAGGTAAACATTTTATTATGGTGGTCGTAAAAATTTGATCAACTCTTTATTTATTTTATTATTTTTTCATAACGAACGAGACTTTGTTGATCCCGGGCTTCCGTTACCCGTTGGGCTATAAAACACGCGCCATACATTTCCACGTTCCGCATTAAGGAAGTGCCGTCCGTTGTCATAAAAAGGATAGCGGATGGGACCGTTTACGAATTGCGCTACTGCTACTGCTTTTTCGCCGACCGTTTTCCGCTATTCCGTCGCTAACCGCAAACGTGCGGCTACGCGGAATTTATTTAACGTTCATTATTCGTCGCTACTGCTAGTTTACGCTTATGTTTTCGTCACGACGATTAATCACCGGTCTTTGTTCTTATTTACTTATCTTATAATAAATGAACGCATAATTGTGCAGTATTGCGCGTCATGTAGACAAAGAACGCGCCGTAACTTCAACCTTATAAAGTTCGTGGCATAATTCTCCGAACGAAATTTATGTGGAGAGTGTTAGCTGTTAGTCTTTACATTATGTTTTAATAATTGCTCATTTCTAACATAAAACCCATGCCAAGGTTCTTGGTAATTCACAAGCCATCACATCATTGTCGCATCCCTTGCGCTCTCTAAGTCAAAGATTTATCCAATTCGAAAGATAATGGTAACATTCACCAATTAAAAATAATAAAAATACGTTTGCAAAATGAAAGAACCAAGCTTCAAGACAAGTAGCCAGAACTGTTTGTGACTTTGCATTGAAGCGAGCTGACGGTTGTGATTTTAAGTGAGTACCGTATTTATTAAGTGATTTACCGCCGATGGAAAGTTGCAGTATCCGTAGGGTAGCAGATGCGTTGCCAACTTTTAATAGAGTAGGCTTTTTTCATTTTCAAACCAATTTTTATCATCTGTAAAGTGCAAGATACAAGAATTATACAAGATCCAGAGGTGTACAAGCTTGTCTTCTCAATGAGAAATAGAAATCTGCCTTCACATCTATGTGATCCTAATTCTATGAATAGACATTTTCTCGATGTGCCTGGTTGTAATAAAGTAAGCATCTCACAAATGTCTTATTATGAGTTCCACAATTTTAGTGATGCTACTTTTTCCTTGAAAACGGTGACCGTGGAAAAAGTATCTAAAATGATTATGACCTTAAAGTCAAATGCTCAAGTTGTCGATAAAATAAATCTTGACATGCTTCTTTTATCCCTCCCTCAAACCCTCGATATATAAACACATATTATTAATACGTCTATTATGACTTCAACTTTCCCTGATTTATGGAAAACCGCAGTGGTCAAACCTATTCCTAAAAATAGCAGTCCAGATACATTAAAAGATCTAAGACCATTAAGTCTTCTGCCTTGTATTTCTAAAATACTGGAAAAAATAGTAAGTGAACAGTTGGCTGCGTATTTAGAGTTGAATAATTTATTGCCTTGCCGTCAATCAGGCTTTAGGAAGGGCCGTAGTACAAGCACTGTTTTGCTGGACGTTAATGACAATATACTTGCTGCTCGAGATAGTGGTCAGGCCTAAGTACTGGTATTATTAGATTTCACACGTGCCTTTGATTGCATCAATATTTCACTCCTTCTTTCAAAGCTATCATACGAGTACTACGGTTTGTCTATCACTGCGGTCAAATGGTTTCAAAGCTATTTGACTGGCAGATCACAGTTTGTGCAACTGCATAAAACTGACGGCAATGTGGATCTTTCCTCTACAGAGCCCATATATCGAGGAGTTCCCCAAGGCTCGATTCTTGGGCCATTATTGTTTATTTTGTACAGTGCGGATATAACATCTTGTATACGCAACTGTAGGTTCCATCTTTACGTCGATGATGTGCAATTATATCATTCTTTCTATCCTGGAGATACATTGTCAGCCATAGATAACATAAACAATGATCTTAAGCGTATAGCTACATGGTCATTCAATAACTGTCTAGTTTTGAATCCCGTGAAGTCCAAGTATCTGTTATTTGGTTCTAGGAAACAGATTGCAGAAGTTTCCAATTTTAGGTTTAATGTGAATATAAACGGTGTGCCTATAGAACAGGTTTCGGAAGCACGTAACTTAGGTGTGATACTGGATAGTAACTTACGTTTTGAAAATCACATAACTGAAGCAGTGCGAAACTGCTTTTACCGTCTCAAGCTCTTATACCAAGTGCGTAATTACTTAAGTGTAGATGTTCGTATGAACTTATGTGAATCCGTGATACTATCTAAACTGAATTATGGAGATGCAGTATATGGCCCGTGCTTGTTCTCAAAAACAGAACGTCTGATAAAAGAGTCCAAAATGCATGCATTCGGTTCTGTTTCCCAGTGCCACCTCGGTCACACATAACGCCCTATCTCAATCTGGCTAACAGACATAAAATGTCTGAGAGAAGAAAACTTCATTTTGCGTCATTGCTTTTTGGCGTTGTTAAAAATCAATCCCCTCCATACCTTTGGAATAAGATGAGTTGGTCAAAGAATCATAACCAGCGTAGCACGCGAGCGTCACAGTACTTACTTTGTACACAACTTCACCGTACTGCTGCATTTCGGGCAAGTTTCAGATATGCGTCCACAAAATGCTGGAACAACCTTCCACCACCATTACGGATTACCAAATCGTGGGCTGCTTTCAAGTTTAAGCTAAAAAACTATCTTTTACTGACACAAAAAATGACATGAACTGGACGACACACTTTCTCTTGAACCTTCCCCTGTGACAGCAAAAATGGCTCAATACAATTTAAAATTAAACTCCGACACATAAATTGGCAAAGCACTGGTCCTTATACAACATTGGTGAAATACATATGTGTATATATGTGTTTGTATGTATATATATATCTATATGTATATGTATATCATGTATTATATATTTCTTATATGTGTATATATTTTTCTTTAATTTGTACTAGGCATCCAGATTGTCCGTGACTCACTTTCGTAGGCGTCAGCTGAAAATCAGCGCTACCTCAACCGTAGCATTATGCTGAGCTGGCTACCTTTTGGTCGTCGCATACACCGACTTTGTATTTATTATTCGATATTAAGAAAATTATTAATTGTATTTATATGTAAATTAGTTATTTTATTCTCTTTTTTTTTATAAACGGTGTTTGTTTACGATCAATAAAGATTTTCTATTCTATTCTATTCTATTAAATAGCAATAAAAGCCGTGAAAGAAGATTTAACTGGGCTTAAACATAAAATATATAACAACAATGCTGTTTACGAACAGACTTAAAATCGCGTAAAACATTATAGCAGATAGATTCCTAAGGCTCGAACCTTAAATCGCATCAATTCCTGTCAAAGACCATACGCGATGCTATTAAGATCGAGAAACATCTAAATTTCAATAGAGAACATAGTTGCATAAAACTGGTTGTGATATATATTGTTGGTACTACAGTATAAATAGTTGGTAACACCGGTTTGTGATCCCCTTATTAATTAGTGGAAGACTCGATTACACGACGGTTTTACCTGTGGTCGGGCTATGCAGCAGTTTCCGCTGTTGCACGAATTGGCAGACTCTTAGTACCACGACCGCACAGAAGACCGCAATTGAGTGGGAGTATTGTACTTCGGGGCCCACATTTATCAAAAGTGTGGCAACGCATCTGCAACCGCTCCGGGCATCTACAACACTGGAGCGGTTGCAGGTGCGTTGCCACACGTGCAATCACTTAACATCAGGAACTTCGCAAATTACGAACACATGTAAGTTGTTGCATGCACGTTTTGGTGCGATATTATAACACGATTACCTTTGTGCAATGCATACATATTTATATACATAGTACCTCGAGGACCGAGCTGCAGGGTCCGAGGTTTTTTTTTTGGTAAATCATGTATTTTGGAAGTAAAAAAAAAATAAAAAATAAAGAAAATTATCTGGTATAGAAAAAAAAGTAAGTGTGTAAAGTAAGTGTAAAATAAGTGTGTAAATGATTGACTACTATAACATTTTCTTTTGCGGCGAAATTTACCGTCATATTCGAATGATATTTTTCATTCCCTGAAAACAGGGATAAAAGGACATTTTCTAAAAATGAAACATAGCTAGATCGATTTTTCGCCCCCGAATCTACACACATACTAAATTTCATGAAAATCGCTGGAGCCGATTCCGAGATACCGATTTATATATATATATATATACAAGAATTGCTCGTTTAAAGGATAAGATATTAGATTTGAAGCGGTTATTGGGCATCCGTTATTATGGTGTGTCGAACTAAATCAAGTGACATGGAGCTTGGTGTATTCCTTATGTCGACAAAAAAGCGGTCGAACTGTGCAGCCGACACCGCTTGCGCCCACGCACCTCGCGTTAGAGAGAGAGCGTCAGAGATAGAGAGGGATGCACAGCCGTCGCCCGGCACCGTGCAGAAGCGCAGCCGTGAAGATTATCGATCGCAGAGCTCCAAAGATGACCTTGTACGAGTTTTGTGCTGTCAAAGATGAGGTACTTCGGACGTAAGATAAGACCGGGAAATTTATTTATATATATTTATTTTATCTTAAAACATTTAAATAAAATTTAAACCATTCTTTCTTGTAACACCAGTAGCCGAAACTTTAATTTCGAAGATCGTTGTGAAAATCTGTTTTTGCTTATCTTGCGTGTGAGAAATAATCTTTTCTTATTTCGAATTGGATAATTATTGAATTCCAATCCATTAAAATTGTAATATCATGTCTGTACCACGGGTCATTGGTACGATTCCAACAATTGACAAGTTCCGAATCTGACCAGAAATTACGTCCTTACAACATTGAATATCCTTCAGTAACAGAAAAGAAAAAAAATAATCATTACGTTACAAACTTTATCCGAAGAAAACACAATGTTATTAATAGAAATTTAGGTACCAATTTCGGAACGTGAACTTATGGTCGCCCGGTGACTAATGCAGTCGATAAACCGAATTTACCATTCGACGCAACACAAGACGCACCTATTGTCGTTTATTTATGTATCGGAGTCTTATGGGGTCGATTTGCTTTATCGATACGACGAGATCTAAATGCTCTATGAATAGGAATGTGAGGCAATGTGCGGAGTGTCCTCTGAATACGTGATCAGCGGGATCTCAGTGAGAAGAACGTGCTGAAGTTTTTTCGAACTCTCCGAAAATTACGTTAAATTGGAACCACACCGTGTTTCACTTGAACATTGTGTAATAACTTTTAGATACGCCAACGTTAGAATTTGTGATGAAACTAACTTAACTACTAAAGTGTGCAATCAGAGATACACACAAAACCGGCCCACGTTACGTTAGAATTGATAAACAACAAATCCGCGCAAAAGGACATGTTACGTGCTCATTGTATTGTACAGATTATGCCACTGCTGGGCAAAGGCCTCCTCTGTACAGAGGGTATCAGGGCATAATCCAACACGCGGCCCCACTGCGCAATAGCGGACTTCACACATATGCATTCATACACTTCACATTTTTAACGGTGGTAGGGCCACGCAGCAGCCTCGGCTGTTGCACGAATGGGCACGCTCGTCCGGGTAAGTACCACGACCTCACAGAAGACCGGCGTAAAGTGGAAGTATGACAAATATATACTTTCGAGTGAGGTAGCCGGAACCCAATTTCCAAAAAGGTTGTCAACGCATCTGCAAACGCTCGGGTGTAGCAGATGTCTATGGGCGGCGGTATTCACTTAACATCAAGGTGAACCGTCTGCTCGTTTGGCAACTTTTCACATAAAAAAAAATTCGCAATATTTTTTTGTTATTATTTCTCTTTTCCGAACCAGTGGTAGTATTTTGACTATCAATAAGGGAGTGTAATGATATTTGAATTTACATTTGACTACATGAAAATAAACACACATTTACTATTAATCGTTTTTAGGCGTACCTATTTCTTTTTGTAAAACAAAAGTAAGATAAATTTTCCTTGTTTTTACGTCGCAACTGAGCTTAGTGTATAATTAGGTTAGGCGCCCACAGTGGATTGATTCAAAATTGCAGGAAAACAAAAACGGATGTCGAATTCAACGCGCTTTCCCGGAAATTGAACGGACACGAAAATAAATCGAGGAAAACAACAGCAGGAAAATGACTGTTGGTGAACATAACTATTTTTAGGTTATTTATCGCGTTTAATTATGGTTTTAATTGATTTCATGATGTCACTTTAGAGGGTAAAATTAAAAAAAATAATAATTGCGTGAAGGTATTCTCTAGTTAATACGAAGAGATTGAAGGCCTAGGTTTGTTTTTGTAATTGTTTTATTTAGCAATGGGTAGTATTCGTTTAAACACAATAAATTGACGAACTTGACACCGCTGGTATCAAAACCTGTTATGAAACATACGAGGAAAGCGTCTATTTATAATCACTTAACCAATAATGTGTTTATTAAATAAATTATTCAACAATATGCCGCCAGGAGACACATTTTATTTTAGATATAAGAATGACTAACATATATTTTAAAGAATAATTTTGAACAAAAAACCTACTTCAAACAGGAAACTAATGAAAACATTGTCAACTTATAACATTTGGAGGATTGCCCTCGATTTCTCTGGGATGCCATCATCAGATCCGGGTTTCCTTATCACCCTGAGCGACCTACCCTTGCCTATCTCCTTTATAACAAAAAAAAGAATCACCAAAATTGATTCATAAACGAAGAAGTTATCCGCTCGACTCTTTAAAACTTAAACTTAAACATTCTTCCAATCACAATTTGAATCATAGGTATAATTTATAATCGCCACAAAAGTAATAGATAATATTTTTTTTTTAACTTAATGTCATGACTCGCTATCTTTTTAATTACATTACTCCGGTTAATTTAATACAAAAACAAAACAGTAGTACACATGCTTTCAATAATGGTCGTGTTGTGACATTTCTTATTGTCAGTTCATACGTCGGTAAATTCTTTTACTGTCCCCGCTCGCCCTGACCCTAATTTCGAATGAATTACAGTCTCACTGTTCGCCAATATACACTTTAATTGTCGCGACAAAAGTTTAGTAGAAGTAACGAACAATCAAGCAATCTAAACCCATCCAGGTAGAACAGTATAACTTAGTAAAGTAAAGTAAAGTAACAGCCTGTACATGTCCCACTGCTGGGCACAGGCGTCCTCTATACAGAGGGTATCAGGGCAAAGTCCACCACGCGGCCCCACTGCGGATTGGCGGACTTCACATATCTTCGAAATATTTTTTGTTATTATTTCGAAAATATGCAGGTTTCCTCACGATGTTTTCCTTCACCGTGGAGCACGTGATAAGTCAGCACTTAAAGTTAAAAACTTTATTGGTGCCGGCACCGGGGATCGAACTCCGGTTGCTCGAGTATATCGAATTAAAGGCGAGCGCCCGGACATTGAGCTGTCACGGCTCCTTTTATCCTCCTCCAATTTTTGCTGGCTAAGTATAATTTAGCCAGCAAAAATTTCTGATAAGTGTGAATCTAAAAAAAATCTATTTTGTACTGATATAAATTTGTTTTACGCTTAAGCGCGTACATGTTACTGAATAATTAAAAGCAGGTGACTTCAAGCGGGTCAATCGTTTAAATCAGAGAAGTAGGCCAATAGCCTTGTCGAGTACCTAGTCCTTCTACGTAAAACATTCACCATCTGTTTCTTTAACAGGTGCACTTTATTCCATAGATAGGTATATAGGCAGATGTAAATAATTGTTAATAACTAAAATAAGTACATGTATGGCAGTACTGGTACCATGGCTAATTCGAACGATGACCTCATAGCAGTTAATGAAAACGGACTTGTTAGTGGTCCCCAGCTAGTTCATTTTAATTCTTTAAAATTCAATTGCCCATTCAAAGTTAGTACTTTATATTTATCGAAGATATCAAGATCGAACATGATATGATGATCTATGGTAGGACCACGCAACAGTATTCACTGTTGCACGAATGGACAGGTCAGTCCGGGTTATACCATGACCTCACAGAGGACCGGCGTAAAGTAGAAGTGTTACACTTCTGCGTTTCGTCTGGTGAGTGAGGTAGCCGGGGCCCACATTATTAAAAGGTGGCAACGTATCTACAACCGCTGTTTCAAATGTCCGTGGGTTGTCACTTAACATCGGGTGAACCGCCACGTCGTTTGCCACTTTTTCAAAAAATATGATCGTTTTACTGACCCAAGGATTCTGCCCTTCATAACTCACAATGCCCCATTCTTGAAGGCCTAAACAGCGGTTCGGTCTAGCTGATTGTCCTCGATTGCTTTGTCTAGGAGCAAGTAACAGAAATGGCGTTCATCTCTGTCTGCTCATAGGAATGTAGTAGCAATTGTGAAACACTGCTTCCATTCCACAATGCGTCTCCGAAGTACTAAAGATCTAGGCCAAACGCCTGAACAGGGCCACGTTTCAATGTCTCACACGTCGTGGAATCGCAACTGAATAGTCGTATGTGGGGCGCGAAGCTTACATATAAAGCTGGCAGCTTCGCCTATATAGTGCTAGGCGTCCTGAATAAGAAGTTCCCCTTAAGTTCTCCTCAATTGCTCTGCGGTAGAAATAATTACATGTACTTTGACGTCATACATGAGTATGTATGACGTCAAAGTCCTCATTTCGTAGTTAGACCACCTGGCCGCTTTAACAGTGTACCTTCACACAGTGTGCCTTTAGTGTAACTTCACACAGTGTACCTTCAAAAGACTACACTCGCAGCTCCAGTGCGGTTAATTTAATTACAATTATGTAATTTTGATCGGATTTACTGTGAAAATGTTTCTTTTATTTATAAAAACTGCCCGTACTGTAGAATAACATCATCCTGTGTTGTAAGGACTTTGACGTTGCAGGGACTAGATTTGTGTTATTGCGGCGGAAACATTATTTTTATACGAAGAAGGAAATTAAGTAGAAGTGAAGAAGAAGGGTATTCAAGATTTTATAGATGGAAATGTAAGCAATTTTTTTATCATATTGTTTCATCAATATTCTGATTGCCTTCGAGAACAACGTTGCCCGCTGAAGCGTCTAAAAGCTTCTGAAGTATTCAAAGATGGCCCCAACGATAATTTCATTACAACTCGGAAGGTAGCCGAAGAATTAGAAATGTATCCATTAATTCCCATCGGGGTCGCTCCTTGCCTTTTGACTTATTTACGACGTCTATAAAACGGCCCGGTGGGTAGTTACCCCTGGTGTTAACAGTACGGCGGGTGTATTAAGGAGAGTTATCTAAGGAGCTTTTTTCTCCTCTAATTTATCAACGCGTATATTTCCCTCACTTCTAATGGATACCGACGGAAAATTTGGACAAATCACCGTTTGGAGTGCATCACCGTTCATCGTATTTCGTTAGTCGGTGACCCAAGTGCGCTATTTAGAAAAACATCAGAATAATAGTTTCTGTATTCAATCTGAGTCTAAAATTTTAATACAACATTATTTAACGGCTTTAATTGCGTTCAATTTCGGTTCTATTTACCAGTCT